GGGAGGGAAGGCAGGGCAAGGTGTGGGAAGTGGGGGGAAGGAAGGGGGCCACTGGCCACTTTTTTTTTTTTTTTCAGTGGCCCGATGGCCACGGATCAGATATTAAACTGATCTAAACAGATACTACACTTGGTTTTAGCCAAATGGCCGACAAAGGTGAAGGCGGGGGGGGGGAAAGGTGGGGGAAGGTGCAGGAGGGAAGGCAGGGGATTGAAGGCGGGGGATTGAAGGCTATACTTGTAAAATGCCATAAGCTTGATTTTGTTTGTGTACTTGTGCATCAACTCCCCGAAAAATATTTTTTCTTCTATCAAACAAACCGTTAGCCTTAGGGTACTCCCTAAATTAGTATTGTTGTTTATCTTGTTGATTCCATTTTGTTATGATTTCCAAAATACTAGTTTTCTCAAAAAACTTGGTGATTGCAAATGGAACATGGGTTCCAGAAATGAAAAAAACATAGTTTTTTCTTAAATAATTTCGTAGTTTTTGACTCAGTCCAGTTTTCACGAAATCTCTACTTTTCACGAATGGCTTGTTGGAGGTGAAGAACCGGCGCACAAATCACCGCCTTCTTAAGGGCGTGAAAGGCGTCCTCGCACAGGGGTGTCCAAACTCACGGCGGGTTCTTCCGGAGGAGGGTGGAGGTAAGGACGTAGGAATGCCTAGCATATCCCTGGATGAAATTACTATAGTAACTAGTGAGGCCTAGAAAACTGCGAAGTTGCTTGACGGATGTGGGGACAGGTCACTCCGCAATAGCAGTGATCTTTGTGTCGTCCATGTGGAGACCCTGGTCAGACACATGGTGTTCTAGGAAGTTCACTTTACTTTGGGCAAAGCAGCACTTACTAAGCTTGGCATGGAAATCATGTTTGAGTAACTTGAAGCGTTGTAGGACATTGCAGAGGTGTCTGAGATGGTCTTCTAAGGTACGGCTGTAGACCAAGACATCGTTCAGGTATACAAGAACGTATTCTTCAAGAATGTCCCTGAAGATGTCGTTCATCACCATCTGGAAGGCGGCGGGTGCATTGGTGAAGCCGAATGACATCACCGTGAGCTCGCAGTGGTCGAAGCGCGACCGGAAGGCGGTCTTTGGCTGATCCTCTGTGGCTACGTGGATCTGGTGGTAGCCACTACGAAGATCGATCTTCGTGAAGAAGCCGTTGCCTGCCAGACGGTCAAACAGCTCATCCGCGCGAGGCATGGGATAGTTGTTCTTAACCGTGTAATAGTTAAGGTCATGGTAGTCATAGCAGAGGCGAAGAGTTATGTCCGCTTTGCGAGCAAAAAGGACGGGTGCACCCCAAGGGGAGTTACTGGGTTTAATGAAACCCAGTCGAAGGAGCTCCTCAAGCTGATGCTTGAGTTCCGTCGCCTCTATAATCAAGAGTCGATAGGGTGTCTGATGGTGGACACGATAATCAGGCATGAGCTGGATAGAATGCTCAACACCGCGCATCGGAGGGATCCCGCTGTATGAGAAATATGGGGCGAAAATATCGCGGTACTCTTGAATCAACTCGCGAACAGCGGGCTCTAAGTCGATCGTGAACCGCATGAGTTTCTCAACGTCTGCGTCAGCACGAGATGTAAGGGTGGACTCGGCAGTAAACGGCGTAGGAACCTGGGATGTCAAGGGGGTATCCGCAGGCTGCGGGGTGGATGTAGAGATGAGAGCCGCGAAGATGGAGGAAGGGTCAGGAGGATCGGGCTCCAATGAGATGAGCTAAACCTCGGGACAGAGGGGATCATAGCGAAGAAGATCCATGACGTTCACTGAGTAGAACGTAACGTTCTTCTGCCATATGAAATGAGCAAACTGACGAGGAGAAGTGAAGGTGATCGTCCGGGTGGGACCCTGAGGGACGAGGGTCCTGGGGAGGTAGGTCTGGAGGGGTGTCGCCCGTGGTTCCAATGAAAGGGATTCGATGGGTTTTACCACACTTCGTTTTGAGAACGAGTGTCTCAGTCGCCCATTCGGCCTTTCTGCCACGGAACCGGCGAGATCAGGGAGTGTCAAGGACAAAGTCGTACCCAGTCTCCAGCACGTCGAAGTATACGGAGGAATCGTAGCGTCGAGGCGCCTAGGTACTATCCGGTGGCTGGAGGGTTAAGAAGAAGTGGTGGTCAGGGACCGTCTGATCGAAGAAGCACTGCCTCTTGTTATCTCCGAGGGTAATGGAGATACTGGAGCGAGACCCGGAGGTACCAAGGCGAGCTTCCTCAAACACGCGAGGGTGAACGAAGTCTCCCTATAAGCCAGAGTCCCATAAAGCGCGGTACACCCTCATAGATGTCCCCAGGTGAATAGGGATGATGGAGAGGGTGCAATCAGGGTCAGAGAGCAGAGCGAGAAGACGACGCAGGACGTTTATGTGCCTTGTGGGTCGCTCTTGGCGAGCCAGAAGGATGCTCAAATCTAGAAGAGATGACACAACGTCATCGCGAGTCACCAGCTGGGCACTATGGCGAGTCGTGCGAATGAAGCGACATGTCGGAAGTCTCGGAGGGAAAGGAGTAGATGCGGCGGCTGCTATGGGGCAGACGGTACCTTGATAGACGGTGGGGCAGAGGGAATTGCGTCTGTCGTGTCCTGAGGATCCTCTAGAGGGGTAGCCAAAGGGGCAAATCATGACTCGGTGGTCGGGAAACCCGCTACGTGCGAGGCCTCAGCAGTACACTTCATCGTGGCTAGCTGGGTGGGGCTGGCCAGGTGGGGTTGGGGGGGGACTGAGATCGACGCTGACGAGAAATGTCAACATAGTGTCGATCGAGGGCGGTATGGTATGGACACCATAAAGAGGTGTGTCCATCCTGGCGGCAACGAAGGCAGCCGTGACGGGCCTCGAGGGTGGCGCGCTCCTCAGGAGATAGAGCTCCGGGAGGAGGAACAAAACCATGCGGGAGGTCTATCTGAGGAACCGTGATCGTGTGGGCGTCAGCCTGTGCAATCCGATTGCGCACACGATCTATTGCGGACATGGCCATCTACAGGCGCTCGGCCACAGGGATAGTGTCGTCATCCAAGTGATATTGGATGACGTCTCAGAACTCGATGTCCTCGGGGGCGTCCCCAAGGGTAGGGTCAAGCTCGGCCCAGGTGTCCTCGCCGTACTTTAGAGAACTGCAGCACTGAGAGAATGGCACTCCAGGTCGAGCTGGTCGGTGAAAGCGGTCGGCGAAGGAGGATCGACAGCGAGCAGCACCGTGTGACCTGGTGGCGGCGGCGGTGGATCGCAAAGAAGTTAGGGCGTCGAAGAAGCAATTCCGCATCTTCTGGTACTGTCGAGCAGCCTCGTAGGCCTACTCTGAGGAGGCGAAGCTCTGTAGCCAGAGCTCGATGCAGTAGTCAATCGGAAGACTAACTGTTGGTCAAAAGGACTTCAGGTAGGAGTACCTCATCGCAAATGAGGCGAGTGTCCTGAAACACTCTGATGTGACGCTCAAGATCGGTTGGTGCGGAGGAACCGCGCCACTGCGTCTGGGTGACCCAATCTAAGGTGTCGGTCGCATCGTGGAGAGTGTCGTAGCGGTCATGGAGGGACGCGGTGAAATCCGCGAGAGTAGGAGCCTCACCTGCGCGAGAACGATGGGAATAATAGTTCTCCCGTGAGGAAAACACGCTGCCTGGCAATTTAGTTGCGAGCGGGGAGCACCACAATGCCTTACTAGTGTTAGTTAGTGTGAGTGCACGTGTGGCAGCCTACAACCAGTGCGACACACGTATTGTACCATTGAAGTCGGGTATACCCGACAGACGCAAAAGGGTGGGACCGCTGTGCTGACAGCGAGGGGAGAGGGGTTGATGGGACTGCCCTACGGCGGCAAATGTCGGGACCGGGGTAGAGGTCGAAGTGGTGGCAAGCTCAGAGTCGGGGCTGTTGGTGGAAGGTCGAGCAGACGTGGAGGCAACTGTCGTAGGTAGGAGGGTCGAGGGGGGGGAGTCCGTCGAGGGAAACAAGCCGGCAAGACAGAGGTGGAAGGGGAGGTATAGGAAGAAGAAGGGTGAGCAGCCTGTGAAGGCTGAGGCTGTCTCAGGGAGAGAATCTCCGCCTAGAGTTGCGCCATGGTGGCCTATAGGGTAGCCACCCGCTGGCTGCATAGGATCGGAGGTGGAGGAGGCGGAGAGAGTACCCTAGCGGGAGGAGGGAGAACTCCAGGCCGTAGTGTTGCGACCGGTGCATGAAGCTGGAAAGAAACTACGGGGTGGGTAGAGGAAACTGTCTGGCCAGATATCGGTATCTGGGCGACAGCACCTACGGCAGTGGCCGAAGTGGCAGGGGCTGCGGAAGCGGCGGGGGCCAATGACTGTGCAGCAACAGACGGTATGGTCTGAGCGGCAGCAGCACTCACCACTGCGGAGGGGGAGTGTTGGACCTGGCCCGTAGAGGAGGACGAACCACCACGTCTCTGTCCCTGGAGTCGTCGAGAGTCGGACTCTGAGCCGGTAGGGGATGGGGTTAGGGAACAGTGGGGAGACCGATAAGGAGAACCCTTAAGGCGGTAAACTTTAAGGGCGAGCGCATTCACTTGCCTCTCCAGGGGTGCAAGCGCATTGAGTCGCACTTGTAGAGGTGCAAGGACAGACGCAAGAACAGCGTGAAGGTCTGTGGGGTCCACAAAGTGCTGACCCTGGACCGTCGGGTGGGTGGGCGCCTGAGAGACAAAGGGCGCAAAGACAATCTCCTCTACTATAGTTTCGTCCGTGGGTAGTGGACGCATGGGGGTAGATATGGCAGAAGATGGAGAAAAAGGTGGGGGAAGGAGATGGGTTATGGCGTGGGGATAGGGGACCACCGGTGAGAGGGAGGGAACCGCGGGAGCGGAGTGGGTGATCGTGAGTCGGCTCACTCTGTAACTGGCGGGTTGCGCGTGAGATGGTGGCGTGAATCCGCTCGAGGAGAAAGGAGTCATTCGGGTCCAAGGTGCCCGACGGGGGGAGGCGGGAGAGTAAGGGGGTTATGAGAACCCTAAACCCTAGAGAAACCCTAAGAAAACCCTAACCGGGTTTTGGGTGGTTAGGGTAGCGTAGCGGCGACCTAATCAAGAAAAGAAGATAGTAATCATGAAGGGGAGGGGGGGAGAAAATGAAATAAACAATGAAATTTCGAGATAACAATAAAAGAAAATAAATAATAAAAATAAAKAAAGAAAGAAATAASCAAAAGGTGAGAAGAGAAAGAATACTTATTTTTTTAGAATTTTTGGCAGCAWTTTCCTACCCSAACRGRGTCACAAAGGTGCAAAGAGGAAGGAGAGACTAAKAGAAGCACACTAAGTTTTACAATGTCGCAAATGATAATTTTTAGAAAAATAAATAAATAAGTAGATGAGGGGGTGAAGAAAAACGAAGTGTTGGGTTTTTTCAAAAATTTTGGCAGCATTTCGTTACCCCCATGAGATCGAAGTGTGCCGTCAAGAAGAAAGACTAACTAAAATTAGAAAAAATTGTCAGCACTTCGCTATCCCGAAAGGGTCAAAATGTGCTCAAAAAGACTAAGTAAGAAAGAAAAACATAAAATTTTGGCAGCACTTCATTACCCCCACGGGGTCAAAATGTGTGCCGAAAGCAAGAATGACTAAATCCTAATCAGATTTCAGGGTGCTGCAAAGAAATTCAAATTTTCAGAATAAATAAAATAAAATAAAATAAAATAAATTAGAAAATGAGAAAAGAAGTTGGGGAATAAGAAAATTCGAATTTAAAAAAAAAAAAGAGGAAATATAAATCAAAAAGAAAGATAAAAAGAAGAAAAACAAAATTTTCAAAGTTGTGGGGGGGGGAATGAAAAAGTAAAAAATAAATGAGAGAAATAGGTGAGAAAGAAAAAAAGAGTGGAGAGGGAGATGGGGGAAATTATGGGGTTGTAGTTAGGGGGGGGGAAAGGGAGAGGAGGGTGGTAGAATGGAAAAGAAGGATACAGAAAAGGTGGAGAGGAGTAGATGAGATTAGTAGAAGATGGTGAGTGGGGAGGACAGGAAAGAAAAAGGTTGTGGAAGATGAGTGAAGGTGGAGGTAGGTGGGGAGAAGAGGAAAGAAAAAGGTTGTGGAAGATGAGTGAAGGTGGAGGTAAGAGGAAAGTGTAGTGGTAGGGTTAAAAAGATGATTAGATGATGTGGCGGGGGGGGAGAAAAGGGGTTGGGGGAGAGTAGGTTAGTGGGTAAGATGCTGATACCGAGCTCTTGGGTGGCCAGGAGCAGAGCACTACCAAGATCCACAGGATCTTGGCCTTCAAGATGTTGCTAGCCTGATGCCACTGCAAAAAAAATCATTTCTCGAGTGGCCCGAGATCTTGATCAGCCACCCAGATGGCACTGTAGTGCAGCCCCCTCGCCAGGGGGGTCTTCAAGATCCACAGCAAGCTGCCGCGTGGCAATGCAGAGAGGCAAAACACAACCACGTGCGCAGGCGGCAACACCCACCACCCGACGCGGGGCGGGAAGGGGGCAAACAATTGTCTTCCCGCATGCTGCCCGTTGCTCGCTGACGGGGCGGGGGGCGGGGGGGGGGGGGGGGTAAATAGTTGTTGTGGCACTTCTAAACAGCAGCAAGCCACAATATAAGCTCACATTGTGGCTTTGGCCAGT